CTTTTTCTGCTTTTTTTTTTTTTTTTTTTTTGGCTCTGGTGGCTAATGAGGAGGACTTGTCTAGAGATGAAATCCACTTCAGAGAACTGCTACACAAATTCAGTACGTTTATTAGGATTGACTTCATAAGAAGCGAAATATTTGGAAAAGTATATTGTGCCTGTTGCGTGTTTGATGTTCTTGCGTGTCTTCATGCTTCTCCTCATCAGCTTTTCTGTTGTTTTAATCTGTGAACGAGAGAACAGAAGGTCAGGGAGGGATGGAGGAGAGCAGTAGTTTAATGTCACACAGGGTATGAGAGTGAATCTCCTCTTTCTGTTATTATCAGGTTTAGGGATGAATAGTTCAAGAGCTTTCATATCTTGTTCCTTTCTGAAGAAAGAAATCGTATTGCAGGTTCTTCCTCTGTGCCTGAGAAACAGCCAAAACACACACCACAACTTTCTCATTGCCATTTAACCATGATAGCAGACAGCTCCTGGTAAATCCCAGTTAACCGTTTTATTGCAGTATGTTTTCTTTTAAAGCACTTGTGGTGCTTGTAAGAGCTAAACGCTTGTGAAACATTAAAAGCTTCTCTTTTATTTCTCTTGCTTAAAGTGGACAAGAATTTCGAACGGTCAAAAATGACTGTTGCGATTTTGACAGCTTAAGATGTCTACAACATTATAGACAACAGGGTCCATGCTTTGTTATTTTAGGGTTCATGTGTGCACATGTGGAACTTGGCAATCGGTTTTGAAATTGAACCAGAATTTTCCAGGATGTGCTGTTGGTCTAGGAAGCGCCACTCCTTTGTTTTTCTGTACTGCACTTCAAATTCTGATGTAGTTAAATTTCATTGTTCCCCAATGGTAAAATAATTTTCCTGGTCCCTGAATACCTTCAAAAAATGTGTGAAAACATGTCTTCTCTGAGCGCTTGACAGTTAATCCATTTAAAAACTATGAGTCTGTATGTTTTAGCGTTATATGGTAGTATGAAAAAAAGGCAAATATTTGTAGTTACCTCTGTAACAAACTTGGGCATTAATGGGTTAATACAGTAATGAAATAATAATTTATGTATGTATTTATTTATTTTATACTGGAGTTCTACTGTCTCACTTTTGTTCTTGGTTCCGGATGGTATTCTTGCATAATTTCAGACACATACTGACTACTCATTTTTGTTGCTATGTCCTTTATTTGTTACTTTGGTTAAAAGCATTTCATAAATCATTCAGTGTAAATGTTGATGTTGTGGTACGGTTCCAGATGAAGTAAAATCTGTAGATGAAGAACGGGTCTACTTTGATTGTCAGAGACCGTAGCCAGGTTGCTGGGCTCATTACCATTCTAAAGGTCAGGCTTATGGCGCTTTTCCACTGCATGGTACGGCACGGGCGTACCGTTACCAAAACATGACGTGTAAACCCTGCTGATCACTGATTTGCCGGAGAGAATCGTCACTACCTGCGTCATTGAATTTGCGACACGTGACACTAGACCCGCTAGATTAAATCAGCACAGCCAGCGAGGATCGAATGCAACTTTTTTTGAATGAATGCAACAATTTCGAATGAGTGCACCTTTTTTTTAAACAACAAATTAATGGCTGTTTCGTGGTCTGTTGAGGAATTACAGACGTTCCTCTTGTTGATAGCCGAGGAGCGGATCTAGCGAGAGCTTGATGGGATGACGCAGAATGAAAAAGTTTTTCAGGAGGTCGCGGCAGTAGAGGCGACACAAACTATAACAACATGTCTATAATCTAAAGCGGTACTAAACTGCAGTGGAAACGCAAACTGAGCCGAGCCGTACCATGCAGTGGAAAAGCGCCATTAGTTGTGTGGTGTGCACTGTGTGTGTCTATGTTGTTGGAGATGAATGGCTGGATCATAATATGGAAGCTGCTCTTTATACATTCTCCTTTTGTCATATTTCATAACATTCCCTCTTCCCTCTTGAGAGCTCTTTCTGTGCCCTGAATAGCTTTACAATTGCATTTGCTGGGCTTTAATCTCTGGTTTGTTTTTTTTAATCTTGCAGGTGAGAAGGGCTCTCTGACCCATGGCTCTATCGTGGATGGGAAATTTGAAGGTTTCATTAAGAGCCATAAGGGCACATACTACGTAGAACCCTCAGAGAGATACCTCAAAGACCAGAATGTGCCCTACCACTCAGTCATCTACCATGAGGATGATATCGGTGAGCTAATATTGCATTGTAATGACCTACATCATATCCTTAATCATCACTTATTTAATGTTTTACTGTGTCCAGCTTTCTGACCGTGTTTGTTAGGGGTGGACGATATGGCAAAAATATCATATCACAATTTTTTCAGGAATATCACGATTCTTTGTCATATTGGTCTTACTATTTTGCAAGTTGTCTGAGCAGTACAGCCAAACTAATTTCCCTGTTTTAAAAACAAAGCCTTACAAGTTTAGGCCAAAGGTAAAAATCTTTGCCATTATTTTATCTTTGTTATTATAAAATAAGAACAAAGATACACATAATATACAAATAAAACAAACCATGCTTTATTTTTCAGGTACAGTAGGTGTATTTAGCAGTAGCGTTCAAGAAATTTAATGAACAAATATAAAAATAAAACACTAAATACATTTCACTGTATAAATTATACATTGATTCATATTAAAGCAACTGTATTTAAGTTCTTCAGTCATGAGCAGTGAGTGATTTTTATTTCTCTTTGTGTTTTGTTGTTTTATTAAAATTAATGGCAAGCAGCAGCATGTTGTTAGTACTGTTGCTTTAAGACCTGCACACATCTAATATACAGGTACGCAGGCGTTTTTCTTTCAACTGTTTACTTTCACTTGAGACATAACCGACTGTGTTTATATGTCAGCCACTGTTTGTCAGGCTTTTTAGTGTGCGCACGCACTTCAGGTGTACACGCTCAGAAAAAGCGCATGTCAGAACAGCACACAAATTAAATGTTTAACCGGCAAGGCTTTAAAGCACATGCAAATAATCTACTTTTGTAAATGCGACTAAGTGCAGTGTCCCATGAGTGTAACTCTTCCGTTGAGTTAACATTTGATGTGAATGTATGTCACATTGTACAGTAGCCTATATTGAGACGGAGGCGCCAGAAATGCAACTGATAGAATGTGCGCTGTAGCACGATACTGCGATATTTCCTCAAAAGCAGATCGTGGAGACATTTTAATCGCCCAAGATCAAAAATCGTGATATCACACACCACTAAGTTGTTATAGATTCTGTGGATTCTTTTAGATTATATAGATATATTTAGCAAGCAAACTCATTTTGTACACTGCCTTTCAACGGTTAGGGGTCAGTAATGTTTTTTAATGCTTTTGAAAGTAGTCACTTATTAAGGCTGCAATTATTGATCAAAAATACAGAAAAAAATAATAAGATTGTGAAATATTATTACAATGTTTTTTTTATTGAAATTGTATTTATTCCTTTGACTGCAATATTCATGCTGTTAATCAATTTAATGCATCCTGTTGCTGATTAAAAGTATTAATTTCTTTTAAAAAAATCTCACTGACCATTTCATCTACATGCATTCATTACTGTGAATACATCTACTGTACTGTATTGATGCAGATTAATGGATAACTAATATGAAGTTTTTTTCAGGAAGTCTTTGTTTTCCTGTAGGTGATTTTGCCAAGCGGGACATGTTCCTGTTCAGCATCCTTTTGGTCCTGGGAAAAATACCTTTCAACCAAGATTTTAGAGTTAGATGTAGGGCTTCTTATTAACCTAGCATTTGCCTCTGGTAATTTCCCTCATTCCCATGATGCCTTCCCGCACGTGGTTGTTCCAAGGCCAGCACCTTGCAGAAGTCAGCCAGCTTAGGTTCACCATAATGGATTTTTTTTTTTTCATCTGGTATTGTTGCATATTTTGATAAGCTCAGTCATCACAATATGGGTTGTTAATACTGAAACCCTGCACTTCCCGCTTGAGACAACCTCTCACAACCACAGCTTGCGTTTCTGAGTAGTTGTTTGTAGTTTTATTTATGTGGTGTGTTGTTGTTTTGCTATTCATTACTTAGCAAAAATGTGTCAATACATGAATAACTTCAAACAGTCCACATTTTTTATTGTGTTTATTTTTTTCAAGAGTAAAAAATTAATCTGGCATTTTAGCTAAAAGCTCGCCATGCTTCCATTTAGATTACTTTGATAAGTCAGAGACTTTTCTCATCTCAGAAGATAGATTTCGGTACTCTCCTCAAGGCACTTGTCATTTCCTTTCAGACTTGTTTCCTCTAGACCAGGGGTAGGCAAGTTCGGTCCTAGAGAGCCGCAGTCCTGCAGAGTTCAGCTCCAACCCTAATCAAACACACCTGAACAAGCTAAACAATGTCTTCAGGATTACTAAGGCTATAGGCAGGTGAGTTTTTTTTTTTTCAGGGTTTGAGCTGAACGCTGCAGGACTGCGGCTCTCTAGGACCGAACTTGTCAACCCCTGCTCTAGACAGATGTCTCTCTTGTTCTGCCCAACATAGATTTGCATTTGAATGGGGCAGCATTCAGTGTGGGACAATAAAAACCTCACAGAGAAGAAATTGAGTCATTGTGATCAGAGATCAGAGTGAAAGTCTTTCCTTAACTACCACCAAGACCTTCAGCCACATACATATTCTTTTCTCCTCCATGCCCTCACATGAAAGAGCACATTTTGATGACTCATTGTCTGAACATGCTAATATTATTCCACAACAGTCAGTTCTTGCTTGAAGAAAACAAGTTCTCAGGGGAATGAGAGATGTTTATGGGTGAGCTGTCACCCATAAACTCAGTGTCTTGACACTCCCTGAACACTTTTCGTCCTGTGAATTGTCCAGTGATGGACGGGCTAATGCAGCAATTCCACTCAACCAGATGCATCATCGTGATGTCACGAAGCCATGCAAATGTTGCCGAATTTTATTTGTTACAAATGAGGGCGTCCTCATTTTGTAACAACAGTAAAAAAAATCAAAAGCACATAGAAGCATGCAAAAAAGCAAATAAAGTGTTGTTTGTTTTTAAATTGTAAAAATGTTGAAAGTTTAGACAGATTTGTTTGTGTGTGTGTGTGTGTTCCACCTGCTGGCTTGCATTGGAATGACTGCTCACTTTAAATTTAGATTGCATATAGCAGATCACTTCGGTTGACTAACCTGCCAACAGGAGGGTAGCAAAGGCTCTTTGATTTCAATATAGACTTTCCATTCAAAATATACAATATCTAGAGAAGACACTTGATTATACGTTTCATTTCTGCTGATGTTTGGTTATTGCAAGAAGTGAAAGCAGAGTCCAGAATGAAAATTTTTGATATTTAACTTATTAAGATAATATAAGTCTACGAAATGTCCTTATTTAGATAAATGTGTTTAAATGGCATTGATTCTATTATGTTCTGCGTTTTCTGTGAGATTTTTTTTTTAACTTTTTTTAGTAGTTTTCTAAACTGCGTTAGTCTCAAGGTAAAGAGAAGTTAGACAAGGACAGCACTGCATCCAAGCTTTGCATACAGAATAGGCCCATAAAGTGGAGTACAATTTGTCTTTCAGCTCCACTTGATAAAAACCCTGTTAGTGTTTTCACATAGTTGCCTTTCTTTAACACAAACATGCACACCTTACAAGCGTGATTATTTTCATCACTTTTAGTGCATGTTTGTTTCTATTAATGTATTCATGTTGCTAGGGAGGTGTGGATCTCTCCACTTTTTCTTCACACTCAAAACAAAGAGCTTTCTGGAACATTACTACTTTTATAAAAAACCAGGTCTGACACATAAAGGTGCTGTATGTAAGTTTTTGACTCTACTTTGGGCGGCATTATGCTAATATTTGCACATAGTGACGTAGATATGTGTGGGCGTGTTAGAACGAGCCGTTTTAGGGGGGCGTGGCAGAGTCTTAACTTTGATAAAGAATATCTCTTTGGGTTTGAGACTTTAGTCTTTGCAACTTCAGGGATCTTATCTATGCACAATCAGCTTGTAACACTCCAAAGAGAAAGGAAAACTTGAAATCGCATCACATGACCCCTTTAAGAAACATGATAAGTTAACATACTTGTTTATCTGAAAAACAATGCTAGAGTCAGTTATTCTCCTTTGAAAATGTGCGTTCCGGGCCGGAATGTGGGTCTCTGTTTTGGTTTGTGAAACCCGCCCACTGCCAGTTTACCCAATTGTATTTCGGCACCCGGGTTGCCAGTTGGCGGAAAACACAGCCTATTTCATTTCATTCATCGTCAAGCACGCTCGTTCCTGTTGGTGTCGTCAATCTGGCAACCTGCGTGTGCCTCAAGTCTGAGGAGGAGGGTCCGGGTGAAAAAAACCCTGGCCAATATTTTTAATTTAGACTGCAATACCTATTTCAACCACTCGGTGTCAATCCTACATACAGCACCTTTAAACACTGTTCTTGAGGGGGAAACACACATACTCACAAACATCCTGTCAATCAATAAAGGTAAATTAGCATTGTTAAAGCTGCTTCGGACTCATTCTGGCTAGTCACCAGGGACAGCAGCAATTGCTGTCTTTGTGAACCAGTGAGCTGAGTGAACAAACTAATCAGCCTACATGTTTGTGTTTGTATGCATGTGTGTTTGGCAGGGAACATAACAGAAAATGTATTCAAACATGCTTACAATTTGATACTGATAAATTATGTGCTCATAGTGTATTTTGTGTAGTTTGTTCAGCAGTTCTGATTGGATGCTGAGGCTCTCATTGTGCTGATGTAATAATCTGTGATAAGACTGATTTGAATGGCTGAATTACAACATGCCTCTGTTGCTTCAGTTCAAGCTTTTTTCCACCAGATCGGCCATTCAAAACAACAGCTTGAGATGACAAATTTCAAACTCTAAATTATTGTAATAAAGTTTCTTAGAGATGTGTTGCCCATCTGGCTTGTGAGTTATTTTGCCAGTACACTTCATGTGTTTCCTTTATTCTAATTTGAGCAGAAGGTGAGAGATTTTTAAAATTTTGGATTTATTTATCATTTCATTTATGCTTCTCTGGTTTCAGGCAGCTCTGGTGGAATCTGTGAAAAGAATAAACACTACTCCGATGGGAAGAGGAAATCTCTGAACACTGGCATCATCACAGTGCAAAACTATGCTTCACATGTTCCCTCTAAAGTCTCCCACATCACCTTCGCTCATGAGGTCGGACATAACTTCGGCTCTCCGGTGAGTTCTTCTCACTTCATGTGAAGCATCCTTGACAGATTAGCAGTAGACTATACACCTCAGCTGAATCCTTTATGAACAAATTAATTTTACTCTCTAATGCTTTAATAATAAAGCACGCATTACAGTACTGCCTTTGAGACCTTTAAATTGTCAGATTCATCTAGCCAGTCTTTTATAGTAACGTGACGTCAAGTTTTCTCAGTCCAGTGTAAATCCTTTCAGTTTAAAAACAGTTGCCAAGAATTGGCCCATGGCCCACTGAAAAATAGTGGTGGATATTTTCAGACTAGTGTATATTGTAGCTTCAGGCCAATTAACATCTTGTTTCTGCCAAATACATAATGTTCAGTTGCAAAGAGAATATTTTTAAAATAATGATAATTAGTTAATTTAGTTTATAAAGCACTTTTCTCACACTCACAAGGTTTTTACAGAGATTAATTGGGATATCTGCTTTCTCAGTATGGTCAGACTGGCCTGTTGGCTTTTCAGCTGGTCAGCTAGGAGAGCTTGGCCAGGCTCCTTAAACCAGTTTAGGACCAACAAACCAGTTTTTTTTCAGATCTAAGGGGGTTTTCAGCAGGAATAGAACACCAATCTGTGTACATGAGGAATATTAAAATGCCAAAATTGCCTGAGCAGAGAGAATTGAGCAGGATGACACTCCTACTAATTTCAAGAAGCATTCTGAGATTTTTAATGACACGGAGAACCAGGACCTTATTTGAACATCTTTTTTTTTGTGTGTGTGTCCAGTTCCCATCATTGTAATGGTGCAAAATGTGCATTACCTGTACAGATTGCAGGGAGAGCACCCCCTTCTGGCCTTAGTAACACCTCCAAAAGCAACCTTAGTTTTTCTTGTTCATTCTGGTACTGACCAGGTTTCCAGCCCTTCTCAACTTCAGGCAAATGCTGCAGGGCAATAGCTGCTGGGATAGTGAATATTTCAAGTGTGTCTGTATGCTTTTTACTGATTACACCTGTCTTCTTTCTCTGTCTTCCAGCATGACTCAGGAAGTGATTGTACTCCAGGAGAGTCTAAGACTCAGGACCAGAAAGAAAAAGGCAACTACATCATGTATGCCAGAGCCACATCAGGAGACAAGTTCAACAACAACAAGTTCTCCATCTGCAGCATTCACAACATCAGCCAAGTGCTGGATAAGAAAAGATACCTCTGCTTTGTTGGTGAGATTTTAACCTAAAAACAATGTACTGGTTATTTTCTGCCAGGATATTATCCAGTATTTTTACAGACATATCTGTTAACCCTAAAACACAATGCAATGAAGTGCAAAATTCAAAATACAGGTAAAACACCTGTAAAACATAAGTGCAGAACATTCTTTCATATTAATACAGTACATTGTGCTCTATTTTTTTTTACAAGTTTTTTGTATGCCACATGTTCGTGTGGAGTAGTGTTTAAGGCTCTCGGGCTGGTAACCAGGAACGAACCGTGAGCTATCACAGGGGTGGCCTCGATTGAGGCACTTAACCTCAGATTGCTCCAGGAGAATTGTCATTGTAATGAGCTCATTGTGCCGTTCTGTAGAAATGTTTCATCAAAGTCTCAAAAAACTGATTCCACCAGCCCTGATCAGGCGACAGAATTCTTTTTTTTTTTTTCTTTTTTTTTCAGTCTCCCTTTCTCTCTCTCTCACTGTTTTGTTCTTTTCCAGAGTCTGGACAGCCCATCTGTGGTAATGGTATGGTTGAGGCTAATGAACAGTGTGACTGTGGCTATAGCGATCAGTGCAAGGACAAATGCTGCTATGATGCCAGTGCGCCAGAGGGACTGAAGTGTAAACTGAAGCCAGACACTCTATGCAGGTACGCAAAAAGAACTTTAACAGTCTATTTAACCAGTGTTGTTATTGTTAATAAACTAAAAAATAAATACACTAAATAAACTTAAAATAATCTGTAATTGGAAAAAATTATGTAAAATAAAATATAAATATTAGATGAAAAGTAGAAATGTTGCCTTGGTAACTAACTCAAATAAATAAGTTTAAGCTGAAATATTAAAATAACTCGAACTAAACGTGAAATAAAAATGAAAGCTAAATAAAAATATTTATAAAAATGACCAATGCACAAAATGACTAAAACTTAAAATTAAAATAAAAACTGAAAAAAAAAGCTAATTCAAAATATTAATACATTAGGGATGTAGCGATGCACCGCGAGCCCGTTGAAAATTGATACAAGCATGTGAAGATTCAAATCGGTTGAGATGTTCAATGAATCACAATACAATTGGGGGTAGGAGTTTATATGAATGTATCTCTGAGGGGGACTGACTTTTCTTTTCATCTCGTTTCTGTATAATGCATATTAAAGCAGTGTTCATAAGCACAGCGCTGCTTTGTCAGAGAGTTAATTTGTATTCTCATTCAATCAGCTTGACTGCTGATTTTGATTTCATGCAGATGGTTTATGTAGTACAGATTCGGGCTGCACGATTAATCGAAATTAAATCGCAAAGGCAATAAATCGCGATTAGGCAGAAGCTGCGATTGTCATGCATATCTTTCAGTGAAGCACAGTTCTGGGATCAGCAGTAAATCTCCATCCGAAGGCCAGAGGGTGCTCTCTCTCGCGCTGAAACTCCAAATACGCCTCCCTCGTGCGGTTGCTGAATAAACAGAAGATTTAACTGCTTTCATTAATTCAACGTGACTAATAAACACGACTACGACAATATATGGTTTATCTGAGTTTGTCTTATTATAATTTTTATTATAATAAAGTATATAATAATGCAATGCTAATTGACATAGCCTTTATCACTGCTTAGAATACTATGAAATATGTTGCGTGCCTTATTCTGTGTAAGAAGCCACATCATCTCACAGAAGGATTTATTTCAAACACTCGACTGACGTTATGAAGTGAGTTTGGAGTAAAAACATGTTATTAAATGTGGTATTTTCACCTGCCTTCAGATGGAGCAGCATTTACTACACAGAGCCGTTCACTGACAAGCTACACAAACAGCTTTCATAATCGCAGAACAATTTCTTAGATTTCATAATTGCACGATTAAATCGTCTGCGATTATGAGCGCGATTTTGCGTAGCTTGTCAGTGAACTACGGCTCTGTGTAGTAAATGCCGCTCCATCTGAAAGCACGTGCTGGAGATTTACTACTAATCACAGAAGCGGCTTTACTGACGAGATACACATGATAATCATATTCAATTAATCATGCAGCCCTAGTACAGATTCACAAAACTAAAGTCAGACTATTCTGTTTTTGCTTCAAATCTCAAAATTATACAATCTAATTTAGATTAAAGACTGCTCATGCTGCTTGTATGCAGCATCTTTGTTAGGATTGTGATTACAATACAGTAGTTGCCTCTAATTTTAAATGGAAAGAGCACAGGCAAGGCTGAAGAGATATCTGAAGATATTTCTTTTATTTGTGTTGTTTGTTTATTTGATTTGGTGATTGTTTTAAAATTTAATTTTAGTTTTGTTATTTGACATTTCAATTTCACAAAGAAATGTCACCCACTCTGTGAAAACCCAGCTAAAGTCATTTTTTTGTGATTCACTGTTTTATACATAAAATCGTCCTACATAATGTAAAGAACATTCTGAGTTAATATGAAAGATATCAAGGTTATATTTTCAGAGTTAGACCAAAGATTTGCTTAATTTCGGACTCAGAAAGTCATGTTTTTGTGAAATTCCAATGTAAAGAAAAGCTTATAAAACTGCAACAGATTTGAACCTTAACACATTTGAAACATAATTATCCTGACTATGTGCCATATACCACATTTAAGCTGAGATTCTCCCATTTTCAGTGATATATGACACATTTATGGGAAAATTCTTAAAGTTTCGTAAAACAGGTCTACTTATGATGCACATGTCCAAAAAGCATAAAAATATTTATACTTTTTGGACATAGGAATGGGAGGAACCACAAGAGTTTGAGTGTAGCAACAATTACCAAGTAAATTCAATGATTTGTATAACTTATTAGTAAAATTACTATCAGTAGAAAATGTCATTAATATACAAATTAATATATAAAATTTAATGTCTAATTCATGTCTTTGGGCTTTGTGCAACATTTGGAGTAGCCAGTAAATCTGGCACTACACAAAAAAATGAAAGAAAAACAGAAATTGAATAATCAGATGTAGGGCTGAACGGTTAATTGCATTTGCGATAATATCGCGATATGAGAAAATGCGATTTTTTCAATCGCAGAGGCTGCAATTACACTCGGTCACGTGACACGCGAGAGTGAAGAGGTGTGTTCCACTTGAAGATCGATCAGTGTATGACGTCAAAGTATGGCAAGAGAACGCATAAGGAGACGTCCGCGCTCTCTTATAGCTCTCGCAGTACTTTGATGACACACACCCAACGGTCTAAGCAGCGCTGCTTCAAGTAGAGCGCGGGCCATCAGCAGAAAAATAAAATAAATAAAACAGTAAACAGCCAAAGAACGTAACTTAGAATGGGAGATGGATTGGTTTGTGAAAGCGAAGAGAAAAGCCATAGATGAAGTCGCACAGATCCAGGCAGGTGCTGGTCATATTAAAAAAGCATACATTTTTCATAATGTTTAATGAAATTATTTGGTAGTCTGAAGTGGAATGGGGATTCGGGAAAGGGGGACAGATTTTTTTTATAGGTTTAAAGGGAGGCGCGACCACAAAAATTTGAGAACCACTGGTCTAAAGTTAACAGACAGTGTTTAGTGCAGTCCACATGTTTACATATGTTTATTACAGTGACTTTGAATTACCTAAAGTAGTGTGGTAAAGCAACAGATTTGTTTTTATATTTCTGCAATCTACTTTAGTTTGTGTGATTTGTTACTGACTTTCATATTAATGTTTACACCAGACTATTTAAACATAATTATTGCATGCTTACAAGGTTGGAAGTTCAACAAATCAGTCAATATACGGTGATTGTAGTTGTTAAATAAAAATGTAATTCATATCAATTCATGCATCACCTAATTTCATCGTAACATATAGGCCCGGCCTACAGAAAAGAACATTTATGTTTAATCTATCTAATAGTGTGTTGGTCATACTATACAATGATTTATAGCTTGTCTTTTTTGAATAACACAGAGCATAAAGAGCTTTAAAAAATAATTGCATATTAAATCGCAATATTGGTAAAAAAAAAATCGCAATTAGATTATTTTCCAGAATCGTTCAGCCCTAATCAAATGTAAAAAATAATCACTGCATAGTCTTCATTGTATGTATTTATTACAAATGAACTGATTATTGTTAGAGCTACAAAAATGGTTCAGTCACTAAAGGAGAGTGATTCCCTCTTTTATTAATATTAATGATACAGATGGCAGCTTGTTTGTAATGCACAGCTCTAATATATTGTTGCACATCAGATGTTTTTCCCCAACTGTTCCCCAAACGTTCAATTAAGGAATAACCAACTATATTTGCGTGAATACACGCCAACACAGATATTTTGAATTACTGTAATTCTGTATGTATCTGATGGTTCATTCGGGATCCGGGATCTCACATTGTCTGACAGACACGACTTTCTGTGCGCGCTGCAGGTATGTGTCAGTCAGAGCGAGTAACATTGAGATTTTAACATCAAGCACGTCCTGCACTTTATGTTCTCATTCATGCATTTTAAATAAATAAAACAGTAATAATATGTATTATAGGCCAATTTAAATATATTTTTTTAACATCTAGACCAGGGTTCACCAGACATGGTCCTGGAGGGCCGGTGTCCTGCAGAGTTTAGCTCAAACCCTATTTAAACACACCTGAACCAGCTAATCAAGCTCATACTAGGTATACTTGAAACTTCCAGGCAGGTGTGTTGAGGCAAGTTGGAGCTAAACTCTGCAGGACACCGGCCCTCCAGGATCAAGTTTGGTGACCCATGATCTAGACTATTAGATTTTTTTTCTCATCAACGCAGACTCGCTTCATGTCAGATAATTCATCAACCCAAAGCATCATGATCAGCATCCAAAGACTGAATTATTTCGACACGCATCAGGCATAAAATGTCCTTATAATAAGCAGAATATTGAGTAACGCAACAAATAAACTGTTCTTAAAATTTCTGTGATGCCAAGAAAAAATCCTCACAGAAATCGGAACCCGGCTAAAGTCGCAGTTTTCTTGCTTTTCCTGGCACTGACCTGATTTTCGCTCTTGTGGATATTATGGTCTGTTTGCAGTTTCTAATGATAGAAAATACTTTTCTGAACCGAATGATATGAGATTCAGCGGGTGTTTCTGCACCTAAAGTAAACCCAGAGATTATTAAAATCAGTGTTTAGGAAGCAAAACTATGGTATTATTTTGCACAAAATAATAGCATGTAGTGTCAAAAAAATCATTAATTTCAGTATTTATCATGTTATAAATGAAAATGTGATAACTGTATCTGGAATCCCTTGATATAATCTATCAGTTACAACACTAAACATAAATTACATATTTTCATAATTTTTATGGCTATGACAGTTTTGACGGTCTTTATCTCAGAATTAGCTAGATTATGCGACTTCAGCCGGGGTTTCACAGACGGGGTCACAAATGTGGAGCATTTTGTCTAAGCAATAATAAAAGGACACCTATTCATTTATAATTTGTCTTAAATTTCATTTTGTTAAAAAAATTGTATTGTGAAATCAGTATCGCAAATCATATCACATCGCGAGTTGAGTGAATCATTACATCCCTATAATACATACTATAAAAGTATGTAAATGTTACTAAAATTGCACTGGCTTTAACATTATAACATCTGTTCATTAGAATCTTATAACCTTTCATAGCCATTCGAATTAAACAGCCATCTAACAGTCTACTTTGACCGACACTCATACAGATTGTTTTGGTGTCATATACAATGTAATTTATTTGAAATATCTTTTTTTTCCACCTTTACTACAACCTCTGGACTTGTTTTGTATAACATCAGAGGTTATGTTTGCATTACCTATACTGTATTATTAGCAGTAATTTGTTAAGTTAACACCTTTTTCAATAAGTGCAACAAAGCATTCATTTTTTCTTGTACTTTTCTCTTACAGTCCTAGTCAGGGTCCATGCTGCACACCAGAGTGCACCTTTAAGTTCAGCGATGTGAAATGCAGGGAGGAGTCTGAGTGTGCTCTTAAGGGCATGTGCAGTGGAAACGCTGCCCAGTGCCCCACCTCAACGCCTAAAGAAAACTTTACATCCTGCCACACAAATAGCCAAGTCTGCCTTAATGGGGTAGGTGCTGCATCATGACCTGTGTGCTCATTTTGTGCCCTGCCTATAGAACGTTTTCTCTCCCTTGGAATTGACAATGCTATAAAAAAGACTTAATTTCAAGAATTTAATGTCAGTGTATAAACACATTTTTGGGTTTAATAACTCTAATAGAATTTGACCAATTTGTTTTCACATTGACATGAAAGAATATTTTCATGTTGGCCCAAATGAATACACATGAAAACTTCCAATATTTCTCCCTGTATATGTGCATATGTGTGTGTAATAGTTGTCTTTGTTTGAGGACATTTTGTCTGAGAATATAATTTCTTTCACTTATAGGTTTGCTCTGGCTCTATCTGTCAGAAGTATGGTCTAGATGTTTGCACTTGTGCCACTGAGGAGGGGAAAGACGACACAGAGCTGTGTCATGTGTGCTGTATGGCAAAGGGTGAGTAACACATGCCGTTACTGACAGTTTTCTCAAAAATGCAGTCCAGACCCCAACTAATCTCCAGCACTTAACATGTAGCCTTTTTTAATTGTCATAAAACATTTTTGAAAGTTTCCCCTAAAGTAATTGCACAAAAATATATATTATATAATATATAAACAATTCTGAACAGTATTCTTTTAAATCTTACTAATCCCATTCTTTCTTTTTGTCTTCGTAGGTCAGCCCAACACTTGCAGCAGCACTAGCTCAGAGAGATGGGTTCAGTACTTTAACAAAAAGGTCACCACATTACAGCCTGGCTCTCCTTGTAATGACTTCAAAGGTTACTGCGATGTCTTTATGAAGTGTAGGCTGGTGGATGCTGATGGCCCTCTGGCAAGGCTTAAGAAGGCCATTTTCAACCCTGAGCTTTACACAAGCATTGCAGAGTGGATAGTGGCAAGTGTCTCATTTATATAATCCCTAAATACTTTTTCTCTGCATTTGTTTGTGTGGCTTTAATCACTATAAAAAACATGAGAAGTGATATTTCACTCACCAATATTATTTATCACTTGCAGTGCTCATCTCATTTTAATATTTGTGTTTCAGGAGCATTGGTGGGCGGTTCTTCTAATGGGCATTGCTCTCATCATGCTAATGGCTGGGTTTATCAAGATCTGCAGTGTGCACACACCTAGCAGCAACCCTAAATTGCCCCCACCCAGACCACTGCCAGGTAATGTACCCCAAATGATCCGTCTAAATCACCGCCTGGTCATAAGTGGCTCAGAATTTCCCCTACCAAACCACAGCTAGGGGTATATCCCAGATGACCACAAACATACACCGATCAGGCATAACATTAAGAGTTCTAAACTAACGCGCTGTCTTCACTGTATAACGCACACACGCTCAAGTCTGATTTATACTCGACGCGTGCGCAAGTTCGCTTTGAGTGCGCGCGACGTCGTTTCGCGTGGCAGTGTGCACGACATTTTTTTATAACTTTCCGAGCAGCTCCGCTTCCGAAGATGCACGAGTTCAAAGCGACTCTAGCCGAACATACACGTCTGTGCCAGCATGTGTGTGAAACAGAAGCAGTTAATGTGAAGTTCAGTCACACACACAGATCACGTTGCGGCCGCACTCAGACATTCAGGAAATTTTTTTTAGAAACCTCGCACTTTTCTACTCAATTTTAAACGTTGTAAAATTTTAAACAAATTAAGTAGTCCACTGCACACGTGCCACATTATCGATACAGGGCCAGCTGTATCGATACTCGTATCGTCAAATCTCTGTGACGATACATCGTCGTATCGATATTTTGAACACAGCACTAATTATGACCACTGACAGGTGAAGTGAATAACACTAATTATCTCTTCATCACAGCACCTGCTAGTTTGTGGGATATATTAGGCAGCCAGTGAACATTTTGTCCTCAAAGTTGATGTGTTAGAAGCAGGAAAAATGGGCAAGCATAAGGATTTAAGTGAGTTTGACAAGGGCCAAATTGTGATGGCTAGATGACTGCAATGGTCAGTATTAGGGATGTAACGATTCACTCAACTCACGATTCGATTCGATTCACGATTTTGATTTCACAATTCGATTCGATTCACAATTTTTTAAATATTTTTTTTACAAAATGAGATTTAAGACAAATTATAAATTAAATGTGTCCTTTTATTCTTGCTTGGACAAAATGCTGCACGTTTCTTTGTGAAATTGAAATATAACACTATAATAATATACTAATATAGCACTTGCATATTATTGCTATTTTGTTGGTTTTGATTGCTTTTATTGTCCTCATTTGTTAGTCGCTTTGGATAAAAGCGTCTGCTAAATTACAAAATGTAAATATAATGTAAATGTAAATAACAAAACTAAATTGAAATTTTAAAACAAGCCCCAAATCAAATAAATAAGTAACACAAAAGAAATCTCTTCATATAAACAAACTAAGGCTTTGTCTGTGCTCTTTCCTTTTCAAATTAGAGGCAACCATTGCATTTTAATCTTGATCCAAACAAAGATGCTGCATACATGCAACATGA